GGCTTTTTTTTCTTCTTTTAAACAGGATTTTAGCACCGGGATAGTAATGGAAACCACTTTAGGTTTGTTTATGGACCACAAAGATTATGGAGGAACAAATTTTGCAATTTTCTTTCGTAAGTCTAAAAATCATGGATCTGCTGTATGTAGTTAACTTGCAGTTTGTTTGAAGGGGTCCCATCAGTGAAGTGGAAACAGATTTTTTTAACTGACTGCTTTTAGTTAAATCTAAAATTGCTGTCTTTGTCAAGTTAATCTGTTCCCTGCCTCGCTCTTTGTAAGCATGTTAAACAATCCACATTAAATGCCATAAATATGAAATACGAGGAAATGGTACAATCGTAAGCTAAAGAGAACTTAAACCAAAAGGAGGTTTTGCTGTCCTTATTAGAATGTTCTAAAATGTCAAGGCAGTTGCTTGTGTTTAACTGTGAACAAATAAAATGTATTGTTTTGCACTATTCTGTGTTAAATTCCCTGCCAGCCACCGTCTTTTGGGACCAAAACACACAGAAAGGAGTTCAGTGTCCAGAATCTTCCCAGATGGGACAGTGCAGAGCAGGTCAATGCTTCTGCCCCTTGGCACAGGATTCACCATGAGAAGCTCATTTTTCTGCGTGGAGCCAAAGCCTTTTTTTCYTCCAAGACAAACGAACTCACCAACAATGTGCCAGTATAATCYGTAAATGAACTGCAAACAGTTCAGTTCTGCAGATCTGCGGGTGAGCTTCTGCATGGCCTTGCTCCTGCAGGCCAGGGCTGCACAGGGATTAGAGAAATTAAAAGCTGGAAATGTCAGAGCCTTGTTTGCAAAGCTGAGGCTGCTGTCAGGCGCTGGCTCTGTCCCTGGCTGTGCTTTTCCCTTGAGCTTGAGCTTACCCTGCTCAAGACCACAGTGCACACATGAGGATGCTTCCAAAGACCACGAGGAATTTTGGGGCCACTTTGTTCTCAGCTTAACCTGGTAAGTTAAGGTTGTTCTCTTGTTTTTCTTTTTTTTT